GTCTGCGTGTGTCTGCGGGACAAGAGTCATGAGAACATGGATTGGAGACTATGTCTGCGGTGTCTGCGGAGGGGGTACGGAGGTTGAGCGTGTCTTTTCCACATTGTCTGCGGACGGAGGGAGGAAAATGCTTTCCGTGGTACTTTTCTACTCACCGTTGTTCTCGGCCGCAGCTATTTTACTCAGCAGGTAGTCATTCCACGGGACGGCGTTCCGTTCGCTTCCGACCCAGTGGTCCTGCCTACGGGGCAGAGAGGGCGCAGATCAAAACGGGGTCTGGGATGGTCATGGGCCTCGAAGTCTCTAAGTGAGATACGTCCTACGCCGGACAGAGCCGCAACCAAGCATGCAGCCATGGGTGCATGCTGATGATGGAAGATGATGGAAGCATGCACCTACGTGGTGTCTCTGGACTGCAACGACGGCTACGTGGACAGAAAGTCCGTAGGACGCTTTCTGTCGGATTGCCTGCAGATGTAACGGTTAAGCGTAAAAAGTGCGATGGGGATCCGGGAGGGCTTGTGCAGGGTCAGGTGCCTGAAATAACCGTGACACTGAATCACACAAATGTGACCCAACTAATCGTCGTGCAATACTTTGTATAAACTTTTTTTCTATACATTAAATGATATGTTAAAGGAAAGGGGCTCACCGACATTGCACGAACAATTGGCCGCAACTGGCGTTGCAGCGTGACAACACCGAGGCATCTTTTTGGCTCTGTCCGTGTGATCTGAAAACCTCTGCGTCTTTCCCTGGGCGTGCGCCATGGCTCAATCGCATGCGGCACCAGCGCAGCCCCCAGCGGCGGAGTTGGTGTGCAAATTATGCAACAGGACGGTAGCTGCGAGTGATGGTCGCCAGCATGGAAGATTTTTTCGCTGTTTGCCATGCGCAAGCATCGAAAGAGCCATGCACAGAAACTTGGGCACTGCAGCTGAGATTGGCACGTGGTCCCATGCCGAATGCCACTCCTTTTTTCAGAAGCTTCACGAAGAAAAGCGTGACAATGGAAACCTGCAGTGGGCCACGATTCGTGCCGTCCTGAAGCGTCGCATGACGGAACGCAAGATCAGCAGCTTCGCATCGACGACAGAAGTGACACCGCTTCCTTTGTCTGTTCTCCTGGCTCAGGGCTGGGAAGAAGAGGTCGTGAAGAAATTTGAATCGGAGAAGAGCGACACGTACGGCGTGGACGTCTACAAAGTGCCAATCACCAAATTCAGCTGGCGGGACATGTTTGAGAGCGTCGAGGAAAAGCTCTTGGAACAGGAGAAAGAGGCGACGAAGCGCCGAGCCGGGAAGAAGAACAAAGAGGATGACTTGGATGTCCCGGAGGCTGCTGCTGCATGTGGAAAAGACCATGACAAGGGAAAGGAAAAGAAGGAGTTGCAAGAGTTGCGCCAGCGTATGACGCATAACGCTAAGGTAGCGTCTAGCGCGGCCAAGGCCATGGGACCTCTTGCAACAGCTGAGACATCCTTGACCAAGCTGTTGGCAAAAGCCGAGGGCAAGGACGGAGTCGATACGGCCGCGGTTGCCTTGTGCAACGAAAAATTGACTACGATCACAGCCTGGGGCCAGCAGTGTCGTGCGGCAGTGAATGCTCAAGAAAGGAACAAAGGTCAGGCGGCCCAAGAGGCACAGGAACGCCTTGAAGACTTGCCGTTTGATCCATCGGATCTTCGTGCGACCTTGAAACAGATCACGGAAGGGCAGAAAGCGGTGAAGGCTAGCATGCCGAAGGCGGCAGCGGCGCCGAAGAAGCGCGCAGGTGGTGCTGGCATCGCTACGGGCGATGCCGGAGCGGAGGCACCGGCACCCAAGAGACGCCGAGCCAAAGCGGCACCGTGAAACGCGCAGAGATCTCTAAGAGAGACGTGTCGTGGCAGGACTCTCTAAGAGAGATGTTGAGTGGCAGCAATGACATGGGGTAGTGTCTGGCTAAGGTAGCTGCTTGGTCGAAGCTGAGTTGAATTGTCAACTTGCGCGTCAAAAAGGGATTGGCAGCTGTCGTTCGTCTCACAGATGTTGTCATGTATATATATATATCTGTTGTCTCTCTATAGAAGAAAAAAACCTTTGGACTTCATGGACACATGGTAACATTGTCTCTCTCTCTCTCTCTCTGTCTCTGACTCAGTTGTGTCTGAAACATAGACTTATGTTCACTGGGCACACTGTGGGTCTCTGCACAGGACAGTGTGTTCACGAAAACAAATGTTAGAAATCCCGGGGACAACGAGAGAGGACAAAATAAATAAATAAAAAAGCGCATGCAAAAAAGAAATGAAGGAGCGTTTGTCCTGTTACTACCGCAGCGGCTTAAGGAGGACGTAGCGCGTTGAAGATGAAACGACGTAAATTAAGACAGGAGGATGATGCATTGACCCAGTTTCGGGCTTTGAGGCAGTTGCCTCGACTGAGTCAAGCAGACTGCAGGGATGTCATCCAATTGCTGCGTGACGATGAAGTGGGCCGCCGTACAGGAGTTCGAGAGCACCTCGCGTACCCACAGGCGTCCAAGCTGCTGCAAAAGATCATGGCTGGCGAACGCAAGGATGTCCCAGTGCACATGAATTCCTTACCGGACCTTCTGCAGGCGAAGGTAGAGGCATGTCCTCTATTCGCTCGCTTGCTGTCCGATGCGTGGGAAAGGAACGATGGTCAATTGACGCTTGTCGTCTTTTCTGATGACACAACCCCCGGCAACGTATTGGCCCCACGGCAGCCGAAGAAGTCCTGCATGATTCATTGCAGCTTCGTGGAACTAGACGTATTGTTCCTCGATTCTTGCTGGCTGCCGCTGAGCAATATGCGAACCAATGAGATAGCAGAGAGAGGCTTTTCCCATGCGGAATATCTTCGCTGCGTGTTGGAGTCTGTGCACGACGCAGCGCAACATGGCAGTGCCATCACTCTGCGACAAGGTTCCGTATTGCTATGGATTAGGAAGATCGTGGTCTTGGGGGACCATGAAGGCCTACGGGCCTTTGCTGGTTGCAAGGGTGCAGCTGGGCTAAAGCCTTGCTGGCGCTGCGTGAATGTTGTATCAGGTAGCCGCGCCTTGCCGCCGGGCCACGTGCGCTTGGACAACGCGGATGTGTCGCTTCTCCGGGCGCAAACGGATGAAGGTTTACAAGCTGTGCTTGCACACCTACGTGGGTGCAACACAAAAAAAGCCTTACAAGAGGCTGAAAAAATGTTGGGTTGGTCTTTGTCTACCGTGGAAAAAGGGATATTAACATCCCCTTCCCTGTCCGACTGGGTGTCGCTTGAGTGTTTGTATCTGGACTCCATGCACCAATTCTGGTCAAACGGTCTGGTGGGGCAGGACATAGGCCTCTGGTACTCACTGTTGAAACAATGCGGAATGGAGTCGCACTTGCTCCTAAGATGGGCAAGCATCGGGTGGACAACCTTGTTGGGTGGACCAAGTCCTCGAGAATGTTTCAATGAAAAACTTTTCCGCGAGGGAGCGGATTTCCGAGGTGATGCCGATACGACGCTGCAGACGTTGCCGTTACTCGCAGCATTCGCGAGGGAAATGCTGCTGGGACAAGAGGCGATGGCTGCAGCGAACGAAGCGTTGTGGGCATTAGTCGATGTGACCTGCCTGCTGCAACGAACAAAACTGCATCCAAGAGATGCAACGCACTTGAATGAAAGCATCGAAAAATACAAGCAAAAGTGGGATGTCGCCTACGCGGCCATCGCAGGGGCAAGGCCCAAATTCCACTACTCATTACACCTCCAAGCCCAAATTCAAAAATACCGTCGACACATCGATTGCTTTGTAGGGGAGCGCAAACATCGTGTGTTTAAGTCCATAGTAGCACCGCGGCTTTCGCGATTGGGGTGCTTTTCTCGAAGTACCCTTTTGCAGTTAACAGAAATCGAACTGACTACGAGTCATCCGGAAAGTGAGTATAGCGGCCGACTGGTGGGCAAGTCCACGCACGACGTGGAGCTGGCCAAGGAACTGGGGCTGCCTCATACCGTTGCCTTTGCCAAAGGCATTCAAATCCATTGTGTCGAGTACTCACGTGGTACCTTTGTGCAAGTCGCAGCCAAGTGCTGCATCGAAGTTGTCTGTGGCCTTCTGCAGGACGATTCTCTTTCCGTAGTGGTGCAGCCCTTGCAACCACGCATCTCCGAACTTTCCATTATCAAATGGGAACGCCTCCCAAAGCAGAGGCACGTCCTTGCAGCAACCAAGTTGCTACTAACTGAACCCATGCGCTTGCTGCGTGAAGACCAAAACGGTCTCTGGCTGCTGCGCTAGCAACAAACGCATCGACGGCGGATAAAAATCAGCAAATCTGACTCTGATGTTGTAACAAAAAGCCTTAAATTCCCACAAAAAGTCACACATGATAAAAACGAGAAAAAAACATATGAAACAGTTAGCTTCACTTAGCGGTCACTTAGCTCACACTTAGCGAGACCAAAACCTAAGTGCCAGCTAAGTGCCAGCTAAGTGCCTAAGTTGCCCGGCGACTCTTAAGTATAGATAGGCCATTTTCAACACCCAAGCATCGCATGAAGTCGCTCAGGCTGATATCCAGCAGCTCCTAAGAGTCACATCAAGGGTGAATCCTTATACCCTGACTTGGCCTGTTGTACCTGAAACATGCATCACAATGGAACTTAACACTCAAACATATGACTTTCATTTATGGAACTGTGAAACTTCACATTTTTCTGGCTCTAGTTTACCTCATTTTTCAATGCCATAGCTACGATTGGTAGGCCATCTTCTCTCCGTTTCCAGGATCGTGCCGCCGTCCAAGCATCGAAGACCAAACAGCAGTGAGCGACAGCATGTGTGAACTCCCCCAGCAGCTTCACGCAGTAGCTCTGCCGTCCTGGGTCACCTGGGCACTTGGGAACGAACCAACAAGCAGAACCGCTGCAGGAACAGTAAAGGAACAGTGAAGACTGTCAACACTTGTTTGCTGTGGAGATTGGCGATGGGAGAACTATAGTAACTACACTTCCTAGTCCAAGTTGCATCGTAAGATCTCCCTCAGCACTTCAGCTTCGGCATGAGCATGCTCTTTGTACCGCGGTACTCCTAACGTGTGCAGAACAGCACGAGCCGGACTGCCGTGAGTACACAATAGCAGGTTGGTGGTTGACCTACCCCTCTGAAAAATATGAGTTCGTCAGTTGGATGATGAAATTCCCAATATATGGAAAATAAAACATGTTCCAAACCACCAACTAGATAGCAGAAAATAGCAGAACAACCTATCCCCTAAAAATCACCCAACAACGCCCTACCATGGATCTACATGGTGCATGCTCGTCCACGGCCGGGCCTTTGACCACTTTCACAGCCACGGCTAGCTTTTTGGACTCATCCACACACGCCAGCACACGACCGAAGGAGCCTTCACCCACCTGCGCAGCGCAAACGTTTCCTGCAAGAGATGCTAGCAGCAAGAAACACCCAGTGATAGAAAATTATCGTCCCTTCACAAAAAAAAACAATTCCCCCACAATGTTTCTTGAGAAACCTCACTTTAGTATTTCATCCATTCACTTTCAGGTCCCATGTGTTTGATGTTTTGGAAGGTTTATCCCCCAGGAATGGGATGAAACTCCAACTCATTTGGCCCAGCGCTTTCGGTTTTCGCCTTCTTCTTCACCACATATCTGCCAGCGTCCCCGAGTTTCATCCCTCGCGTCCACTGAAAATGCGGGGTGTCCCGATTCCATCGGCCTGTGACAAAACATGGGTCCCAGCGCCCATGCTGAAGGATATTCAAACATGGCTGACTGGAAAATCCCGTGGGAAAAAATCATTCGAAGGGACAAACATGGAAAAAGGACCGATCTCAACCTTGATCCCCCCCATGCGTCATTGAAAAGACTGTGCCCACCACATCAAATCATCCGGTTCATCATGCGTCAAAACAAATGCTGTCATTGGTGAAAGGTCCATATTGCACTGCTGCAGCTCAGTCACGCTCTTGCGAGTTCTCACTCTCGTCAGTGCGTCGTTCACCTGCAAACCATGTGTCACATGCTACCCAAAGTCCCAAGGACCTATGCAAATGGCAAATGTGGGACTATCGCAGGTCTCTTCTTTGCCACTTTGTGCATTGGACCGTCCATTTTTGCCGGTGCCATGGTCACGTTTACACATTTCAAACATGTTCGCTGCAACCCTGACGTTGCTCCGCGTCTGACTTCAGGTGGCTATGAAGATAAAGTTGATGTTATTACCCCAATCAACATACTGCTCACAGGGGGTGGCGAATTTTGATCCCTTATGAAGATAAAGATTACGTTATTACCCCAATCAACATATTGCTCATAGGGGGTGGCGAATTTTGATCCCTCATTCCCTCATGAAGATAAAGTTGATGTTATTACCCCAATCAACATATTGTTCATAGGGGTTGGCGAATTTTGATCCCTCATGAGGATAAAGTTGATGTTCTTACCCCAATCAACATATTGTTCATAGGGGGTGGCGAATTTTGATCCCTCATGAAGATAAAGTTGATGTTATTACGCCAACCAACATATAGTTCATAGGGGGTGGCAAATTTTGATCCCTCATGAAGATAAAGTTGATGTTATTACCCCAATCAACATTATTGCTCATAGGGGTGGCGAATTTTGATCCCTCATGAAGATAAAGTTGATGTTATTACACCAACCAACATATTGCTCATAGGGGGTGTCGAAATTTGATCCCTCATGGAGATAAAGTTGATGTTATTACCCCAATCAACATATTGCTCCTAGGGGGGTGGCGAATTTTGATCCCTCATGGAGATATAGTTGATGTTATTACCCCAATCAACATATTGTTCAGAGGGGGTGGCAAATTTTGACCCCTCATGAAGATAAAGATGAGGATTGTGATGATGGTGATGATGGTTATGATGATGATGATGTTGATGATGATGATCATGATGATCATGATGATCATGACGATTGTAAGTGTGGAGCAACGTCCGGATTGGGGCGAACATGTTCACTCATCTGCAGTTTTGTTTTTAAATGTTTTTTAAATGTATCAAACATACGTGGCCCATGTTGGACCTTTTTTTCAAGGACCTATCACCTATCCTTTTAAGCTAGTAATCATCCCCATCCTATCCTCAAAAACAAAACATTCAAAACCCAAAGAAAGATCTTGGTGCCTTTTTTCGCCTCTCGACTGCGGCTGCGCTCCCGGTCTTCTTCTCCTGGGAGTTGATTTTCAGCGCATTTCAGTTGGGATCCGTGGCATGATATATCAAAATACTCAAGGGGGATGATTGATTTGATTGATTTGATTGATGTTAATTCAATATTAGGGGGGTGGACAATCCAAGTGTGAACACAGAATCGCACAATCGCAACTCACAGCCAAAGCAGCCAGCAACGCCACCTCCATTCGCGGCCACATCTGCAGCTGGAGTCGCAGTCTTCGCCGTTGCTTTCGACGTTTCCACGTCATCCTGGTGAAGCACAGCAGGTGCTGCGGAGGCACACACACACACACACATATATATATATATATTGCATATATGTATATACTGAATATAATACGTATATATATAATATTATATTGCTAATAGATAGATAGATAGATAGATAGATATAGAGAGAGAGAGATAGATAGATATAGAGAGAGAGATAGATAGATAGATATAGAGAGAGAGATAGATAGATATAGAGAGATAGAGAGATAGATAGATAGATAGATAGATAGAAAGATAGAAAGAAAGATAGATAGATAGATAGGTAGGTAGTTAGATAGTTAGATAGTTAGATAGTTAGATAGATAGATAGATAGATAGATAGATATCATACGGACGTATATGCACAAGGATCTAGGGATGTAATTATGGGTATACATTGGGTTGAACCCCTGCTTCGCATATGATGGGGATACAGTGGGAGATGCAATCAACTTAACAATGGGGATGATCCCAACCGGAAGAAGGGATCGATTGCCGCCACTGACAATTGACCAAGTGCAGGGTCTCTGTTGGCAGCTTACATTAGCTCACTGTGAAGAGCATTGCTTCGATAGGCTTGCTCCAAGCGGTTTCAAGTTTCAAGTGTCTACCAAAAAAAAAACATAGACCCCGCTATACGTCCTATCATTTTTGAGTCTATAGAGCTAGATATTGTGTTTTTTCCCCGGTTGTTGGATACCCAAACACTTCGTCATTCAGATGATGAACATTGCGAACCCCCCAGCCGACCGCCGAGATCACCGAGATCTGTCAAGTCGCCAAAGCCCAGCCATAGAAAGTGGTTTGCTGTCGCTCGCCACCCAACAAGGAAGAAAACTTCCTGCAGTTCGATGGGAGTGGCACACCGAAGCAACCATCATCCATCACCATCCATATGTGTTCAGCTCATGGTCCACCAAGATGGGTAGGCCATACAAATATGATATAATATGATATATATATATATATATATTTACAGTATATATGTATAATTATATATATAATATGATATACCATGATAATATGATACATATATATATATAAATAATATGATGGCATAGGTGAATGGGTGTATCCCCCTCCAAAAAATCACGCATCAGCCAAGCGTCGCAACGGGCCCAGCCAGATGCTGCTTCAGGGATTCCAGACGTGGCAGCATCACCTGGAATGCAGTTGTTGGATCTTTTTTTGGGGGCAGCATGGGGCAGCCAACCAGGAAAGACAAGGTGCCGGCCACGAAAAGTTGGGGAAATCAGAAACTACCAACATTGACATATTATGACATATTATGACCATATCATATCATCAACAAAAGTGACAAGAGTGGGGGTTCAAGTAAACAAATGCAGCAGAAAAGGCCATGCCTGCGCGAAGCCAATCAAACTCTTTCGGGCCAAACGGACCTTGACGCTTTCGGCTCATCCACAACGGCGCAAGGTCGGGGAAAAAAATATACCACCAGAAATAAAAAATAAAGCAAATTATATAATCAGCAAATTTTGGATAAAGTTTCAATGCGCTGACCCACTGCAGCAGAAGCGCCGAATCACGATCGCCCCACTCAGGTTTCAAGTAATCAAGATCCAGATCATCCAACCGTTGCATGTCGTCCTGCACCTGGCAGTTGGATGAGTTGGGCCTTGGCAAAAATCCTCCCCCATTGTGCACAGCTGACCCAGGTACCCTAGGCGGCCTTGGTTAACACCTTCAGGACCATCTTGTTGGCTTCCTCAACCACAAAACGGATGGCCGGTTTCAACCTGTCCCAATATTTTTTGAATATGATTTCAGAATATGTCACGTCCAGGCCAGGTAGGATTTGGAAATATGATCCACTACCCTCTGGTAAACTAACATAACTATGGAAAATCACATTTTTTAATGGGAAAACTCACTATAAATGGCCATTTTCAATAGCTATGTTAGTTTACCAGAGGGTATCAAAACATATCAAAACCAGATTCTGGATTCATTGTTGGACCCTAGCTGATGGAACATGATTTTTTACCCCAATTTCCACCGTCACTTCTCATACGCTTCGCATACTCTTGGAGTTTGTCATGTGAATGGCATACATGGTACGAGAAGCTTATCGGAGTACACCCAAAAATGCCCTAGACATCCTGAAGCATAAGTCAATAGCTATGAAGAATCACCATGTTCATTGCAAATCCTCTACCAATGGGCCATTTTCCATGACTTTTTTCTGTTTGGATCTTACCGGAGGCTTCAATCTTAGTCGTCCCGTTTGGCCCAAGGCCGCCGTAAACGGCGCTACCGTTGCTGCCCAGCATCAATCGTGGCCTCGGGGGGGAAGTCTCCAGACTTGATCCATGGCCCACATTTCTGGATCAAAGAGTTGACCTCGGGCTATGCCCTGGGACTGGGCGCATGGCCTGTTTGGAAGGTATGGAAGACTGAAGTTGCATCAACATGTCTATGAATCCCCGTAGATGTGCGGAACCTATGTCAAATTTCCATGATTTTAGATGAAATATGATGAAATATATATATATTATATATATAATATCTGCATGTATTTGCATCAGTCTGCCTCATTGCATGCAGGCTTGGGTACAAATCTCTTCCCCCCATTCAACATGTTTCTGCCTGGACACTTCGCCCAAGGCCTGAAGCATGGCCTGACCACATGACTTCACATCGGGATGTTCGGAGACCATGAGTGCCTGAGGCTGCCAGGAACCGGTTGGAACCTGTTGGAGTTCAAGATGCCCACTGAATCACTGAAATTCACTGGACCATGTGAGGAGCAACAAATGCTCTCAGGCACCGCGCTGTGACTTGAAAAGAATGATCCAACATGATCCAACCAACGCCTGTCGCCTGTCAAGACAAAACAGAATATACAGAATTCAGATTGCTTTGCAGCCCTGTTTGGTTTCATTTGGTTTTCAAATGTTTTCAATCCAAGTTGCCAAATCCAATGATCCATCATCTTCCAATGGGTTTGCATCGAAGGACTTGGATGTACCATTGCTCTGGGACATTGCCGAGTGCCCCAGTTGAGTGTTCCCACTTTGGATCACTTTGGCGTGTTGAGGTGTCTTAGAAAGCCTCAGAAGTGCCTGCTGACCTGGTAACTTGCAAGAAGAAAGCGCCTGATGAAGCATGGATGACATGAAACGCATGCAACGGGCGCACTTGCGCCAAGCTTTGTCTGGGGTTGGAAACCTTTGCACCCCCTTTGAATATGTCCCGCAGATCTTTGTTGACCCGTCATGAACAATGTTTCATGAATTCTCCTGCTTGTTTGTGTCCAGTGACTTCAGTGGCTCTTCACTCATCACTGTTGAGCCGTTAAATCTGCCGCCACAATTCCAAGTTGAAGTCAGTTCCGTGACTGCGGCCCGCAGAAAATCTTTGCAACTTCACGGTCCGTAACGGTCCACTCCACTTTGCTCAGCCGCTTGCTCTTGTGCTCTATTTTGCCGAATAAATGCCGGGTGTCCGTTTTGCACATGTGGCATGCACTCATCAGGGAGCGCCCAGCGGATGCCTCGGCCGGACAGGCAACAGCTCAGCCGCTCTGCCATGCTTTAAAATATCAACATAGAGACGTGATGACTCATAGATACAGCAACGCAATGTTCGACATATATTATGTTTATGTCTATACACATATTATGCAATGCATATATGATTTGTATTGTTTTGTATACCTTAACATGTGCAGTTACATATGATATGCACATGTCGACTCGCCACACAAAATGGAGCACATTGAAACATAGATTTCACCCCACGTTTCGGAGGCATCAAAATTGTTTTAAAGAAATATGGGAGACGCACGGTATCTTTGTGATTTCCGTAGCGATTTTCGGGCGAGGATCGCAGAAGTCAAAGGCGATCTAAGAGCAACGACCAGGTCGCTGGGTGAAACAGAACTTGCTGAGGGTCTGCAGCAGATGGTGAAGCAACACGCCATGGATCGGGGGGGTCCTCAACTTTTGACTGTCCATTTTGGTTTGCGATTGAAGTTATCTTACCATGCACCTCGGATATTCTTGCAATCAAATGCTATCAGTTGGTTTCCTTTTGCGTCTTAATGGGTTGATCATGTCATTTCCATTCTTTCAAGGTGATCTTTGATTATTTTCTTAACCTTTCCCAGCATCACCGCTGCTGGCAGAAAACTGTACTTGGAGTACCGACCGAAAATTGATCATTGATTGCACCCTGTTTCTGGTGAGGGCACAGAAGCAGAATCTGGCATCTGGCGAGCAACTCAGGCCCCAACGGGCTTCTACCTAGAAAATCATATTCAACAATCAAAGCAGTGTCGCCACTGCTGCATTTTCAAAGTTTTCCATCTTTTCTCGGCGGCTTTATTCCATCTGCTTGCCTCGGGTTGCTGGCTGGCCCATGTTGAGTTGAGTTGGTCACACTGTGAAGCTGCACGATATGGCTTTGTCTGAAGGGCACCCATGGGCACCCCCAGTTCTAAGGGATTACCAGCATATCTCAGCATGTTTCACTTTTGAATTGCTAGGCCTATACACTAGTTTCGGACAAACCCATAGGTTAAGTGCAACCAGGTTGCATGAGATTCTTACAAAGAACTCCTTGGCAGTGCAGTGATCCGGAGATACCACGAGCTATGCTTGGATGGTCCCTATGCTTGGAGAATTTTTCGTCGGATCATCTCAAGTAGTGAAAAGTAACACCCTTCCGGTGACCCGGCTTGTGACTTGTGCATAGAGCCCAGTATGCCCCGGTTATATTATAGTACGGACTATATAATCTACCCTCTGGTTATTTAACATAGCCATGGAAAATCACCATTTTTAATAGGTAAACCTTGGGACCTGCTTCAGCCTGTTTACCTGTTTTTACAAGAAACTACTCACAAAATATGAGAAACTAATCGCAAATTGTAAGAAACTATTCGAAACTTGTCACAAAAATCAAGAAACTAATCACAACAAAACAAGAAACTAATCACAAAAAACTAGAGAAAAAAGAAGCAATCTTCACCAAAACAAACAAAATATAAACCAAGACAGGAATCCTAACATCATGAGATGCGTGTGTGTGTGTGTGGCTCATGTTTTGATACTTCAGAAAGTGTGTGCAATGCAGTTATCAAACCAATTGGGTTTGGGAACAACCTGCCAATCCAACCCACTCCAGTAGCCCCCTCTCTTTTGCCTTTGGCCCCGGTCTCTTCCAAGAGATTGGTCTCTGATCTCTTCAAGCAAAAGAGTAGACAGAGCGGCGGTGCTTTTCCAACATATGCCTTAAGTCCTGGGTGATGCTCTAATCTAAGCTCAGATGTGTTTCTTCAAAAACCCATCAAGCCACAACAATGGCCAGCTTGCCACCAGCTTGACACTGTCTACTGAGTCTACTGGTCCAAAATTCTATGTCCTGGATCTCTGCTTACTGATTTGGTCAGTACTCCCTACCATCCAGGGGCTCAAGAAAAATCAGTCACTTTTTGCGACTTTTCGGTTTTGGAGCCGGCTCTTCTTCCTCAGCCTTGTCACCTTTCTTTCTCTTCTGCTTGACAGCCGCGTTCTGATCCTTTTCCTTCTCCGCTTTGGTGCTGGCCTTCCTTGGACATTTGATATTCAGTGAATCTTATCAGTGGGGTTGTGCGTGGTTGAAGTAGATAGCATGATGGTATATGGACCAGACTAAAATGAGTAAACTTAGACCAAAAGTCCGACCAGGGCAGAAATGAGTATGCTCTGAGCACACTTCAAATTTTAAATGTTGATGTTCTGTTGTCATATATCGCTTTCTTGTATTCATAAAAAACAAATCGCTCAAAATAAAATGATAGATATGATATATTCTATATTTATAAGTTATATATTATATAATTACTTTACTTCGAGTTTTCCCCACCATGACATCTATACCTTTTGTTACTGGCAAATCTTCTGGCATTCTATCTGACGTATCTTCTGGCATATCTGGCATATCTTCTGGCATTCTATCTGGCATATCTTCTGGCATTTTATCTGGCATATCTTCTGGCATTTTATCTGGCTTATCTTCTGGCATTCTATCTGGCATATCTTCTGGCATTCTACCTTGCATATCTTCTGGCACTTTATCTGGCATATCTTCTGGCATTCTATCTGGCAAATCTTCTGGCAAACATTCTGGCACTTTATCTGGCATACCTTCTGGCATTCTATCTGACATTCTATCTGGCATACCTTCTGGCATTCTATCTGGCATATCTTCTGGCATTCCATCTGGCAAACATTCTGCCACTTTATCTGGCATATCTTCTGGCATTCTTTCTGACATTCTATCTGGCGTTCTATCTGGCATATCTTCTGGCATTCTATCTGGCCGTTGAGGTCCAGCGGTGGTCACTGAGCTCGGGGGGTCCCAGGTTGAGGTCCAGCGGTGCTCACTGAGCTCGGAGGGTCCCAGGTTGAGGTGCAGCGATGCTCACTGAGCTCGGAAGGTCCCAGGTTGAGGTCCAGCGGTGCCCAGTGCGCTCAGACCCTTGCAGTTGAGGTCCAGCAGTGCCCACTGCGTGCGGAAGTTGGCGAAGAGCTTGGCGAAGAGTTGGCAAGGCGGAAGTAAACATGGAAGTGGAGGCAGAGGTGGTGGAGGAGAAGGAGGAGGAGGAGGAGAAGAAGAAGGAGAAGAACAACTCTGATAAAATCTAACAACCCTCACCTGGCAGGTGGGCAATAAAACATTTTATACATATCATACGTCATCTGTTCTTATGAATTGCTAATGAAGCATCATGGGCAAGACAATGGCGGGACCATGTCACGAGTTGAAAATACACAATGATTAACTTAGAGTCAGTTCTTCCCTCCGTGTCAACCAATAATCAACCAGCATCATAGTGTATATATCAGACTTAATGTTCATATGATGCATCATGTTTCACATAACACATGACATGCTATACAGTTTACAAAAAAAAACTACTTATACAGTTACAAGGTACAACTAGTTACAATTTTTACTAATGCCAAGTGTTATTGTCCATCGGTTTTTGATATGGCATGCAGCATGCATGCATATCGATATCTAATGGAAAAAACACATGTTGCACACGAATATGTACAAATCTTGATTACTTTCGACCAAGCCATACTTCATTCATTCTGCATGCAGCTTTGCCAAAATAAACAAATAAGTTTTAAGTAAGTATATATTAAGCATTTTTAAAAATATATTTCAGTTACATTATATAAGTTATAAGTTTTTAAGTTTTAAGTTATAAGTTATAAGTGAGCTATAAATTTTGAATTAGTTACTTAGCTTTTTAAGTTAATAACATATTTTTAACATATGATAGGTTTAGCCTTGACAGTGAGTGGTTGGAAGCGGCTTCCAACGGTTTCCAACTAATCACCCATGATTGGTTGGAAGCGGCTTCCAACGGTTTCCAACCAATCACACAACCTACCAAGATCAAAAAATCAGTGAGCGGCTTCGAGCGGTTTCCAACCATTAGAAACTATTTGCAAAAAAATCGGGGGGGGTGGTAGTTTGGGGCGTGTGATTGGTTGGAAGCGGTTTCCAGCGGTTTCCAACTAATCACCCGTGATTGGTTGGAAGCGGCTTCCAGCGGTTCCCAACTAATCACTAATGTCCTTCATATCAAGTACCTTCCAAACTATGATATTAACATGAAACCAACATAAATGATTCACATCAGTCATATGACCATGTAATCAAGTCATTTGATTTAACTTAATCATGAATCCATTGATCACTGATCATTGAACATCATCATTCGATTTCGAGCCTTTTGAAAAATCATTTCGTTTACATCAGCCCATCCCAACAAAATTCAATCTGAGAAACTTGGGGTATGGCCCATTGGATGTCCAGTGACTCCTTCTCCCTTTTGTTCGGCAGTTTTGCTACCTCATCTGGCAAGAAGGTGGCAGAGTATGAAGGCAAATCCCCATATGGAGCCAACCCAAGCTCTTTCTTCATGGATTTCACAATCTTTTTTGCGGGCTTCAGAGGTTTTGCCATCTTGCCACATGAGCTGGTGGAATTTTAGTGGGATCTACTGGTGATCTACTTGGATTCACAAAGCACAAGGGTTGGTTGGATGGATGCTGTCTCTCTGTTTGAGATTGGTTCTTGAAAAAACAGTGATTGGTTTCTGAGAATTAGTGACTAGTTTCTTTACATGTTATGAAGGGGCCTTGGAAACAGAAACTGACCGACAAAGATATGGAACCACGGTCCTTGGCCGGAAGTGGGAGGGTTGGCTCTTTGCCCATGGTTCGCAAGGTTTCCTGGTTGAAAATCCTCAGAAATTGAATGGTCTCCCTTTCCGTAGTTCCACGGGAAGGACTGTTGAAAGCATGGGTCAAAACTTTGGTCACTATCTCCCCAATGTTCGTGACGAAAGCTTGAATCTGCAATATGTTCTGGCACATCTTCTGGCATTCTATCTGGCATATCTTCTGGCATTCTACCTGGCATATCTTCTGGCATTCTATGGCTATCTTCTGGCAAATCTTCTGGCATATGTTCTGGCAAACATTCTGGCACTTTATCTGGCATACCTTCTGGCATTCTATCTGACATTCTATCTGGCATACCTTCTGGCATTCTATCTGGCATATCTTCTGGCATTCTATCTGGCAAACATTCTGGCACTTTATCTGGCATATCTTCTGGCATTCTTTCTGACATTCTATCTGGCGTTCTATCTGGCATATCTTCTGGCATTCTATCTGGCCGTTGAGGTCCAGCGGTGCTCACTGAGCTCGGAGGGTCCCAGGTTGAGGTCCAGCGGTGCTCACTGAGCTCGGAGGGTCCCAGGTTGAGGTCCAGCGGTGCTCACTGAGCTCGGAAGGTCCCAGGTTGAGGTCCAGCGGTGCTCACTGAGCTCGCGGTTGAGGTCCAGCGGTGCCCAGTGCGCTCAGACCCTTGCAGTTGAGGTCCAGCAGTGCCCACTGCGTGCGGAAGTTGGGGAAGAGCTTGGCGAAGAGTTGGCAAGGCGGCAGTGAACATGGAAGTGGAGGCAGAGGTGGTGGAGGAGAAGGAGGAGGAAGAGGAGAAGAAGAAGGAGAAGAACAACTCTGATAAAATCTAACAACTCAGAAGTTCAGAAGCGTTTTTGATTAGCACCTGGCTCTGGCTGATTGCAGTCTTTGCCATCTAAACTACTCCAATGCAGCATATATTCTCATCCAGTGCCCCCCATGGTTTTTCGCTGAGAAACTGGTCCCGGGATAGTTGGCTTTGATGAACTTCTTCTTCATTTCCATGGGCTCTGAAACTGAGATGGTCCGGAAGGAGAACCCAAGGCACTCGGCCAATTCCCTCCTTGGACACGATATAAAAACATGTCAAGACCCGGGAGTTGTTTAAGGAGTTGGACTGAGCGCCTGAAATGGGTACATGGCATCGCGCCGCAGCCAAGACTCATGGCGTAGGTTCCAGTTGCAGCTCCAGCACAGCCCTCGCATATGTCAAACCTTGGTGTGCACGAGACTACTGTTTGCAGCTTAAACTTTGCCTGTCCTTTTCGAATAACTTACAAGGACCGGATGTTTCTTAAAAGGCGTCAGTGAACTATCAGTGAAACTTATCACTTATACTGTACTTAAAATACTAATACTCTTATAACCACTTCACACAGATGTGAGATGGGATTTGACCACTGCACGTTTGAAAACCGAAACCACCCAGAAACTTTAGTCTAAGCAAACCTCGTCATCAAACCAGAACCCAAGTTAAGATGATGGAGGTTTGATCACAAAAGTGTTTGTGTTTCACCATGAGGCAGGAATCACATACATTCCTAGTAGATCCTATCAATCTCAGACATGTGACCTCACGTTGCCGACCTTGCCCTCCATCGAAGACAGGCCCAGCTTGCTGGCATAGTACTGGGCTCACTTGAAACTTTCGGGTTCCCTCACGACCCCTTCTGTCATGATCCTGAGTCGGCTCAATGGATGGACATGGAGTGGTAGAGGAACACATCTGGATGGCCCCTTCAAAAATCGGTTTCCAATGGCCTATGATGAGGTTTTGATGATGATATGGCGCAACCATTTCATGGATCCTGGATAATGGCCATCTTGGGCTATAGTACAGATAGTGTGCTTGGCTGACCCTGGCTCCTGCATACCTCGTGTGGCAGTATGCAGTGTGCAGCAAACATACTTACATACTTGGGCTGGCCCAAGCAAGGACCACAACTCTGAAAAGTGAGCATGTGGCATATGATGTATTATGTAACTGTAGACTGTATCTGTAGGAAAAAAATAAGTTTCAAGATTTCTTTGCTGGATCATGATTAAAGTCTGACTCACTCACTATTACATAAGAATAGCCGGGTTGGTCCCAATACTATTCCAATACAATAAGTTAGTAAAGTAATGTAATGGAAGTGTTGGTATACCAAGAGTATCACATGAGACCTTAGAATGCACAAAACCCAAACTGTGTGATTTCGTGGGTTGTGGATTTCGGATGCATATGGAGCATCTCATGTCTGATGGGCACCTTTGGTGGATTGGGACTGAATACATTGGCCACAAACAATCTGAAATACTGGCTGTTGTCACACTGGCCCTGCCATCCTATTCTGGGTTCAAGTCGCTCCTGAGTACCACTTAATAAGAAAAGGCTCGGAGGTTCATCTAACGTCTCCTCGTCGCTGACCATACCAATCAAGGCTTTCACCAAGCCATGGCTTTGGTCAGATGACTCTGACTCCCCCATGTTCCTGGACATTGAAGTGTCCCTCTTTGAGCCAGCTGTGGCTGTTGGATGTTCTGGCCCCTGTTTGCCACGGCTGGTGATCATGACCATGGATTGCCATGAATGGTTGATGTTATAAAAATCTTAATGATCAATCCAAGTCAGCTGAGTCCACATATGCCGGCATGAATTACATTACACAATGAATGAATCATAAATCATCATCGTTATCATAGTCATATGCATATGATGTCAAAATCATGTTTCACTGTGTTTTGGATCTGTAATATTGAAATGAGTCTGGATTCTGATGACAATCTTCATGTTACAATTGGTACCCATCATGTGAATCAGGTGGTTTCAAATCATTAGCAAACCAACCAATCCATAGTCCATAGTCTGGCCCGTTGACCATTGAACAGTGTATAGGGTTCCAACTGGTCATGTTTAACTTGCCATGATCAGCTCATGTTCAATGGTTTCCTGGGTGTGATCAACATGGCATTGGCCCCAAAACACCTCTTGTATGATCAATGTTAAAAATAGTTCTAATTCTAATGATTATATTATATTATATTATATTCAATAGCATTCAATGACAATTGCTAAAGACACCCCAAATTTAGTGATTGGTTTCTACACTTTTATTGAATGGTTTCTGCATTTTAGTGAATGGTTTCTGCATTTTAGTGATTGGTTTCTGCCAAAAACAGAACCTACCACTTAAAGAGGCTAACGCAGCTCCTAAGGTAAACCATCTATAAATGGGCCATTTTCCATGGCTATGTTAAAAAACCAGAGGGTATATAATAACATAAGGACATATAAGGACTAATAAGATGTCATGTTCCCAATGCATCGGAGTCTCCCTTGGTATTCTTCACCTCCAGCGCACTGAGTAGCACGAAGGGCATGACGTTATCCCACTTCGGTGGGACCTGCATCCCCAGGGCTGAGGTTTTTCAACATGTTTGGACAAACTGGAGCCATGAACCAGGCATTTGTAGTGCAAAACTGCATTTGAGCATGCGGCATCCATCTTGCATATTCGGTAGACCTCAAGAGGTCGCAGGAGTGATGATAGGCATGACGATGTCAACACAATTGAATACAATTGGTGCAAAGGCATAGGGACGCAAACGGGCTAAACTTAGCACCCAACCGTCATGTAATTATCCTGGGTGGCCAAGCTTTGACGAGCTTGGCAGCATCGCAAACTTTGATGGATGGACATGAAAAAAACCATTCAATCAGCAGCCAATTTCCATCAGCTTCCATCAGCTTCCATCAGTTTCCCTTGGCCGAAACCATCCCAGGAAACCCCATCCTGATCCCCCACAGGATGCCAAGCAACTTCCGCATGCCAACAGGAACTGCACCAACCATCCTCGCAGGAATATCTGACGTTGGCTCCCAGCGTCTCCTCGCAGGCCTTGGTATGAACATGTATGAACCACCCAGGGGACCATGGTTCCCCGATCACCAGCAGTGCAGTTCTATGTTAAACTCTTGACTCTTAATCCAACGTAGTTCACCCGCACCTAATCCGACGTAGATTGACAAACAACCATCATCCGGCATGGATTTGCAAAGGCTTGTTGCAATGGCTGCAGTCATTTATCTTGTTCTAACATGTTCTAACCATTTTTCACGGCCCCTCTCTGACAGGATTTCACATGGGGCCGCCAAACGAAGCTAAGAGGTTCAAAACCCACTCGGCAGATTTCCAAGATTTCACCTGATCGATATTTTCCATGTTTCTCAAAAATTGGTGCCTGAAAACCTAGGCTTCCCATGGAAAACCACCTGCCAAAACATTACAAGTTTTGGGTGACTTCGTTGTCCTCCACTTTTAAGAACCCTTCATATGGATCAAAGGTGCCCGTAGCAGGGCTCCGCGTTTGTAGGTCGCCATCTTCAGGGATGGTTTCCATACGATTTTCACCTCAGCTTCATCAGCGTTCACCAGCAAACAGTGGGAAAAACAGCAGCAAGCCAAAGGTGTGGCTCAATTTGATAGTACGGCTTCTGGGGCCAGATGTCTGCCATTGGTTGTCTTGTATGAGGAATCCACACTTGATTTTGGGGAATCTTTTCTCGCCACACGTCTGAGCGATAGGTCTTCAACGCTAAGTTTGGCACTGGTCCAGTGAGATAATTCCGCACAAGCTTCAGCGTCAGGGAGTCACCTGCATTGTTTGGTAGGGGGCCCATGTGCAGGGCGTTGAACATTAGGGAGATGGGATACAGCATACAAACCGGACTGGTGACACCAGCTACAAGTACTACACATCATCTAAACATATTTAAACTGTAGGGGTTTCAGCCCTAAGTTCACGTATGTTTGACGATTTTTACATAGGGAATTATAGGGATATACACTGTATCTATCTCAGTGAAGATCCCATTTACCTCCATGTACCATCTGTAACAAAGCCTTGGAAAATCATGGAAAATCCCTAACAATTGCGGCTGTACATCGGTCCCACCTTCAGACTCCTTCACCAGCTTGGAGACTTGCTCCAAGTCTTGACCTGCCCAGCCATGGGAGAAGGGTCATTGAGAGGGATGCATCGAAACAAAGTTGGATAAATCAAGACCGGAGTTTAGTGTATCTCTCTCTCTCTTTCTATCTCTCTCCTCTCTCTCTCTCTCTATCTCTCTCTATCTCTCTCTATCTCTCTCTATCTCTCTCTATCTCTCTCTATCTCTCTCTATCTCTCTCTCTCTCTCTATCTCTCTCTATCTCTCTCCTCTCTCTCTATCTCTCTCCTCTCTCTCTCTTCTCCTTCTCTCTCTCTCTCTCTCTCTCTCTTCTCCTTCTCCTTCTCCTTCTCCTTCTCCTTCTCCTTCTCCTTCTCCTTCTCCTTCTCTCTCTCTCTCTCTCCCTCCTTCTCTCTCTCTCTCTCTCTCTTTCTCTCTCCATCACCGTCAGGTCACCCTGCCTAGCTACCCTAGGGACGAGATAGAAGCATGCACATCATCTGGCGCTGCTCCCAATCACCAAGTCAGAGTTGCGAATTCTCTCTATTGATGTTCGGATCCTTCATTGGGGGTATAAAAATATAAAAAATGCCGCCAGCAATAATTCCTGAAAGGGAACAATTTTGCATACATTGGAAGACGCAGGTATGGTGGCACATATGCCATAAAACCGATATTTCAGATTTCAGATATTTCAGGATGTTTAAAATTCTTTCAAACACATTCAAAATGCCTGTTCCACTGCCCAATATTCCTACCTACCAGGTGCCGCGCCCATCGCCAGGCACCTTCGCAGAGCGTCCCGTTGACAGCCACGACCTCATCGCCCTCCATGACAAACATACCATCAGCCTCGGAGGAAATATACGAAATATATGTGGGGAAATGATCTGAGACAGTCTGGTGTGCTGGTGGCCTTGAGAGGTGTGACTGGAGCTTCGTCGGATGTTTTTTCCATTTCGAGTGTGAAGACTATGTTAATTAATGTAATTACTGTTAATATTCAATTTCTAGTGTGAAGACTATGTGAATTAACTATGTTAATTATTCATTTTCTATTAATTAATTAATGTTAATTACTATGTACCCTCTTTAAACATCAATGTTGATGGGGGGTAGCCATTAGTCAACCACTAGTCATGGTGCTGTTTGAAGCTCACCCAAAACTGATGACACAATGCTGGACACCAACTTGAGGCCGGGGGTGGATGACGAAAGCTAGCGGGGTAGGAGAAAGAAGGAAGGGAAGAGGTGAGTTGCGGAGGGAAATGATATATATGGGGGAGGGGGCAGGGGGGGCCCTTTCGCGGGAAAAATCACCTGATGTCCTTGGGGAGCCCCGGAATACGTGCTAAAGCAAGAAGACTCTAGCGAGCTGACGCTAGCTTTCGTGATAATGACAATAATTGCCAATAATGATAAAATGTAATTGAATAACGATGATGACGATGATGATGATGATGATGATGATGATGATACTGATGATGAATGATGAATGATGAATGATGAATGATGAATGATGAATGATGAATGATGAAGATGATGATGATGATGACGATGATGATGATAGATAATGATGATGATGATGATGGATGATGAGATGATGACCGATGGATGACGATGACGATGACGATGACGATGACGATGATGATGACGATGACGATGATGATGATGATGATGATGATGACGGACGAGCGAGACGAGGACGAGGGACGGACGATGGACGGACGATGATGATGATGATGATGATGATGACGATGATGATGATGATGATGATGGTGATGGTGGTGATGGTGGTGGTGGTGGGGGAGGGGGGGGGAGGGGGGGGGCCCCCCCTTGCGCGTGAAAAATCACGTGATGTCCTTGAGCAGCCCCCCCAATACTTGCTAAAGCAAGAAGACTCCAGCTAGCTGACGCTAGCTTTCGTGAAAAATCATGGCTGATGACATGGTGGAACTGAGGGATTCCCAAAAACTTTCAGCAAATACCCTCCGGTAAACTAACATAACTATGGAAAATCATCATTTTTAATGGGAAAATCCACTATAAATGGATATAAATGGTCATTTTCAATAGCTATGTTAAATTACCAGAGGGTACCTCTTTCAGAACAACTGTATCAACTGTGTAAAGTTCAAGCAGCATCTTCAAGCAGAACTTTCTTGTTCCACAGGTCCTTGGCTTTGGGCTCGGCGATGAAACCACATGGTTTAGCTGCTGAGAAGTCCGTGCTGATAGTGCTGCTATAACAAGTGGTAATAATTAGTTGCACACATCACGCCACACTGCAGCAACGGCGTCACACTAGTTTGCACTCCAAGATTCCGTATTGCCACCTGCCCACGAATGGCCCCCAAGTTCAAGGTCAGGGTTGCCAATATCTCATGTCTGATGGCTTGCTGGAAGATCCACTAGTCAGATGATGGTCCCATTCAAAGCTCCATTTAGTTCGGGGATGTTTTCACTGAATTCCCCATTTCCGACTCGGAATTTCCGCAACGGCACCCCCGCACCTTCCTTGATCTTCGCAATTCCAACGCCCGGTCGGTTGGGGAAATTCTTCGGTGTGAGGCCTAAGGGCTTTGATAAAGTCACATCAAAGACAGCACGACCACCTTCGATGCGTTTCCTGGGCCGAATGTCTCACCAGAAATGGCTGGCATCAACATGAAGCCTCCAACATGGGAGGTTTACTATTGGATTTACCACATCAAAAAGGCCCTAAAGAAGGAATCAACATTGAATTCAGCATCCAAAGTTTTGGACACTGCTATCTTACGTGAATGTCCTTGAACATCTGCATTGGAAGCAATAGCTGCACCAGATTTCACCAGGGATCGACAAATCTAGAAGAAACGGAGTGTCTGACATTGTCTGATATCATGTGACATCATGTGTATCATCAATACATGGGTTTATCTGAAAATAGCACGCCCCAAACTGTAAAGGTTTACCAGTAGTACCCGCACGAGGCGGGGCGGAAGTTGCCTTAAAGATATATATAAGACCTTTCTCATCTATAGAACTTGCATGCGCCATGCGCCAGCCAAGCCCGTTCGTGCGTGCATTCTGCGAAAGTGATGTCCTGTTGCACATGTCACATTTGAAGCTCCACTTCGCACTTCACACTTCTCACTGCACTCTTCACACTCCACACTTCACGCTTCACACTCCACACTTCACACTTCGCACTGCATTCTTCGCACTCCACACTTCACACTTCAGACTTCACAGTCCACACTTCACACTTCACACTTCTCACTTCACACTTCACAGTCCACACTTCACACTCCACGCTTCACACTGCACTCTTCACGCCCCACACTTCACACTGCACACTTCATCTCATCTGAGCTCTTCTCACCTTATCCCAGCTCATCTCTTCTCATCTCATCTCTTCTCATATGTCATCTAAGCTTTCATGAATCACTTCCCAGTACTTCTACTAAGGAACTGGATCTCGACGCCAAAGCGACAAAAAGACGATTTTGAAGCACTTTTTAAAAGGAATTTTAAAAGGAAAATTATTAGCGCCAAAATTGAGAAAATCTGCTGACAAATCACTTTCGCAGCCTTAATGCAGCCGTTCCAATACGATTTACGATCTTCAGCTGCAAAACACAATAGTATTACGCATGCAGCCGGTGCACCCATCCTGTTCTGATTCGCATTCCCCAGTTTCTTCACAAACTTTGAATTCCTTATGTGTCCTTTTTTTACCATACCTTTTTTTGCTTGGCATCACACAGAAACTGTTTTAGTTTTGCATCAAACACCATTGAAGCTACATGTCTTTACTTCAGAAGTAAGCAGAACTCAGCACCCAGCGCGATGCAGATCATGGCCCTTTTTCATCTCACTCTGAATCCTTGGCAACAATCATGCCTTGATCACGCGGCCCGCACTGGCACGCGCGCCATGGCAGTGAGTGTCCTGCACGCGCAAGCATCAGCGATGCAACAGCAGATCGTCTTTATCCAGACAACGTACCTTAAAAATAAGTCTGGGGTTACCCGGAGCCCATTCACTGGGCCTCTTCTTTGCAATCAAGTTCCACCACAAGAACATATGCAAGACTCGAACTCCCAGCGCGGTGAGAGCCACGCACTGTGGGAAGCTGCACGTCTGATTTTCCCGGCTGGAGGCATTTCGCAGCTCCTGTTGCAAGGCTTCATCGCAAGAGGGACATATAGATAAGGAGGAAGCAATGGCAAGAGGTTCCAAGACAGGCCTGTCGTGTCCACAAGCGATGCAGCGGTGATTTTCCAGCGCCTTTGTCACTCGAAACAAGTGATGGCAACGAGCATCGAATTCGTTCATGGTTTCAATGTCAATGATGCGTGGGATCGTGGGCAAGATTCTCTTGCAAAAGTCCCGGTGTCTCAGGTACCGCTGATCTTGCAAAATAGCATCCGCTGTCGTGCGGCAGACGCAGGCCAACGGACAATGCTGATGGCTGTGCAACAGCTTCAAGGTTACCAGTTGCTCGACAGCACACAGCCATGGCTGATGCTCATGCCGCATTTGCCCGAACGCCCGCACTGGCGATCCGTTGCTCCAGGTTCCTATGCCACTGCTCGTCGGTATTTTTGTTCCTGCAATAAATTAAGCATGATGCATTTACATTAGTTACGCCCTCTATCCCGTTTATTGGATTTGGCGATACTGCAACCGTCACAACCATAATTTAAGGTTGACGCTGTTCTTTCCTCTTTTTTTACATGACGACAAACTGGATAATGAGCACAACAACTGGAGCCAGATAACTGCAGTGACAACTCAATGAATCCTATCCGCTTCATTGTCAACCTCTTCCCTCGGCGAACAGTTGCACCCATTCCATGCTACAAAAGCTTCTTCTCCAATAGCACAATGTGTTGAATCGGCGACAGCAGTTCCTCTTCAAAGAACGTCAAAGCATCCGTTTCTGGCAACGTGTCGCCAGGATCTGCAAAGTTCTCGGCAGTCAATCGAAATGGCTCCTTCGGCAAGCCATCTTGCGCTCGCTTTTTGGCTTCTTTTAAGCACATATCACAGATTGGTCTCTCGGGCTCAAGCCAATCTTTTTTCGGCATTTGCACAAAATTCGTTTTTTTGGTAAGTTTGCGTTTCAAACTTCCCAGGCAACTGTGCTTTCGTCCGCTTGGTGCCAAACCATCCTTCGTGACAATATGAGCAGTCTTGAAATTCAAGCTCGTTCAAAAAAGTATCGACTTCATTGACACGATGGAAAAAAGCCATGGTGCGGCTTTCGGCATCTGCGGAATTTCCGTACAGTTGTCGCAAACTCTTCGGCAACCTGGGCCGTGGCAAGTCATCTCCCAAGACTGTCTCCCGGCTATGCAACTTTGCTTCATGCGATTTCTTCAGCGGCACAGTGGCTGCTGCTGGCAACAGCTGTCCTAGGGCATTTCTCACCATCTCTTTCTTGTCCTCTGTCAGACTCGGAAACGTGCGTTGCATGAAGTCATAACAGCAACGAAGTTCGGCATCTTGCTTCTTGGCGTGCACATTAAACAAAGACTCAACACTTGCTGCGCCACAGGATTGCAATTCTACTTTTCTTCGATCCAGGATCTGCATGAACTTGTCTACCGAATCAACTGCTGGAACACACAACAATGTTTCCCATTCCTGCAACGTCGCCTTCATATCTTCATCAAGCTTTTCATAGCTCCGTCGCCAAAAATTTATTTCTGCCAAATACATATTCTGGCTTACCTGTACGCTCAGCTGCACACATGAGTTGAAGCAGCGTAGACGCAGCGTAGACTTTTGCATCCCTTGCAACTCTTCTCTGTTATCTTCAAGAATGTTGACGAAACGATCGAACTCGGGCTGCGCAGATGCATGCTTCACACATACCCGCCGTTCCAAATCCTTCCACTTTTCCTTTTCTTCTTCATTCAAACTCTCATATGTGTAGTTCTTCACAAAACGATAACAAATGCCTCCCCAAGTTCTGCTCTGTGAAACAGTCCCACTCATGCAGACATCGCGCAATGTACCTTTTCCCAGAGCCTTCATCTCCTCTAAGTGCGCTTCTGCAGCAGCACAAAACTTCCGAAAGGCTGCTCGCACATCTGACACGCAGTTTTGTTTTTCCCATTCTTGTATCACCTGAGTCTGTTCGGCCGAAAAGGTTTTCTCAAGAGCAAGATACATCTTGTAATACTTCCAACATTTTCCGGTGCTTAGACAAGCTTTCAACGTCTTACATTCCAGCACCTTCAAAGTCGCCGCTTCCTTTTCGATGTATGACCACAGATCAGCAAAGGTCCCCGATTGCGCCATGGCTCCACCGCGTCTTAGGAAACGGGCCGCACTGCCACGTCTCCTTGCGCACTGCGACGTCCGAAATTATGAGCATGGCTGTCTCATCATGCATACCTTTCTCATCCACTAACCGCTCCAAAACATGAGAAAATCTTCGTGACTAACCATGAGACCTGAATACATGACACCTCTGACAAATGCACGTTCCCAATTCTTTCTTGCTACACACGTCTGCCTCCTGGAAAATGCAAACAGCTGCGGCCAGAACACATCGCCACCGTGGTTTCTGGTCAAGAGTTCTATAGCTTGTTCCTGGACATCAATGTCACAACATTTACCTACATCAATATCGCACACAAAACTCGAAATAGCAACCTACATCCACGAACTAGCTGACAAACTACTTCCCAGTACTACTTCCCAGTATATACTACTTGGTACTACACAGCTTGCACCCGATACTACTTTGCACTACAAAGCTTGCAAAAATTACTTCCCAGTACTACTTTGTACCACAAAACTTGCACAAAGTACTCCCCAGTACTACTTTGTACTACAAAGCTTGCACAAAGTCCTTCCCAGTATACTACAATTTGCAGCTTCAAAACCGGATCTCGACGCCAAAGCGACAAAAAGACGATTTTGAAGCACTTTTTAAAAGGAATTTTAAAAGGAAAATTATTAGCGTCAAAATTTGGAAAATCTGCTGACAAATCACTTTCGCAGCCTTGATGCAGCCATTCCAATACGATTTACGATCTTCAGCTGCAAAACACAATAGTATTACGCATGCAGCCGCTGCACCAAGCAACCTTGACGCAGCCACTACAATGCGATCTGCAGAGACTGAGTTGCAAAACACAATAGAACTACGTGCAATGGCGTCGGAAATTGCAGCTCCAAAACCGGATCTCGACGCCAAAGCGAAAAAAAGACGATTTTGAAGCACTTTTTCAAAGGAGTTTTAAAAGGAAAATTACTAGCGCTCAAATTGCGACAATCTTCTGACAAATCACTGTCGCAGCCTGGATGCAGCCACTCCAATACGATTTACAATCTTCAGCTGCAAAAGACGATAGTATTACGCATGCAGCCGCGGCACCCAGCAACCTTGACGCAGCCATCACCATGCGTTTCGCAGCATCACGTCGCAAACCTGCACGTATCTACACACATAACAACACCAGAACACCAAATGACAACAGTCATGCAGCCATTCCAATGCGATCTGCCACCGGAGATTCCAAAACACCCTATAACTACGCACACACAAGCACACCCAAAGCAGCTTCAAGCCACCGTTACACTGCGGCAAAAAAAAACGACAAACCGACCGCAGCCGCACCCGTCGCACACACGAGGTACCTTTCATCGTCGCCTGCAGCCACTTTACACGGAAAAACACAAGGTTTCGTGCTCCGGCTTCCTCCCCAAGACATAGCCCATGCAACATCATGCAGCCATTACAGTCGAGGGCTGAAGTCAGAGCAATTTTCTTGAATGTGGACAAACCGCTTGCGGAAAAGTCGCCACGACCGGGTCACAGCAGGGTCACAGCAATCCATCAAAACACAAGGGGGTTGCCTTCATTTGAAGGATACAAAGTACCATTATAACAAACACGAGAGAGCCCACCCCTCGCACTGCAGACTACTCTTCTGCCAGCACTGCTTTGCATTACAAACAATCATTCTGCCACAATGGTTTGATTTGAGAAGGAGTAAGACTGAGTGAACGAAGGAAACAATGAAAAGAGAAGAAGTAACAGTCTGTGAGAAAGAAAGAGAAGAAGATAAAAAAAGGAACAAACACAGAACACAAATGAAAACAAGTGCTGAAAATACAACCGAACGACCCCCCGAACGACCCCCGAACGACCCCCCGAACGACCCCTGATTCATGAGTTGTCAAGCGCAGGACACAGGGCCATCATTGACCACAACATGAAGTGTGAAACTCCCTGCGCCACCGCACCCCTTCTTCATCCCAAACCATGAAATAAAGAAAACGAACGTCCCTCCCATCCAAAAGAGGTATGTAGAGGAATGACCAAAGGGACGTTTCCCCCATGTAAGCTAAATGTTAAATATGCTGGAACAACCTCAGCAAATAATACATAATACGAGCGCCGGGCCAAGTCACATCATGCGGGAAAAGTCACATCATCCCCATGGCACGGCGGCGATACAGAAAGTCACATCAGGTAGTGGAAAGTCACATCAGGGAAGAAGAATCACATGGCACGGCCTCTTTCATCTATAATTAGAGATTTAGTTAAAAGTAGCCGAAGCATTGCGCACAGCGATGATTTTGAAGGGCACAAGTTAATACAAACAAATTCTTGGCAGCTATTCCTATTGGATTTGAAAATATTATATTGATGTCCTGCGTCGCGCGACCACATCAAACCCCTATTGGTACAGCCTCAAATTTCTTGCAATGCAAATGGGTTAGCTGTAGCAAATCCTATTGGCAGGGCTATGATCTAGCTTTAAAAATCAACGCCATACTAAAAATTGATTTTTTTCCAGGCGCGCGGCCCTAAAACAATGAAATCGTTCAATTACTAAAAGTTGTGATGATGCGAAACTTGAACTTTTTCCAGGCGCACGGCCTCCCGATACGACTTTAAGAAACTGATACGACTTAAACCGAGCACTTGTATGGTCATCCAAGAACCCAACGGAAATGAATGGATTTGACCCACAAAAGCCTCTAAAACGATTCAACAAATCAATGCAAATCTCATAGGCACAGCCACAATCGCTACGACCCCCCTGAAAAGCTTCGCCCAATGGTATGGACTCAAAAGCAAAGAATCGCTACGACTTTGACCCTTGACTGTACAATGCGGTTCGCAGCATCAACTCGCAAACTTGCACCTATCTACGCACAGAACAACACCAGAACACCAAATGACAACAGTCATGCAGCCATTCCAATGCGATCTGCAAGCACAGATTCCAAAACACCCTATAACTACGCACACACAAGCACACCGAAAGCAGCTTCAAGCCACCGTTACACTGCGGCAAAAAAAAAACGACAAACCGACCGCAGCCGCACCCGTCGCACACACGAGGTACCTTTCATCGTCGCCTGCAGCCACTTTACACGGAAAAACACACGGTTTCGTGCTCCGGCTTCCTCCCCAATACATAGCCCATGCAACATCATGCAGCCATTACAATGCGGTTCGCAGCATCAACTCGCAAACTTGCACCTATGTACGCACAGAACAACAGCGGAACACCAAATGACAACAGTCATGCAGCCATTCCAATGCGATCTGCAACCGGAGATTCCAAAACACCCTCTAACTACGCACACACAAGCACACCCAAAGCAGCTTCAAGCCACCGTTACACTGCGGCAAAAAAAAAAACGACAAACCGACCGCAGCCGCACCCGTCACACACACGAGGTACCTTTCATCGTCGCCTGCAGCCACTTCACACGGAAAAACACAAGGTTTCGTGCTCCGGCTTCCTCCCCAAAACACAGCCCATGCAACATCATGCAGCCATTACAATGCGGTTCGCAGCATCAACTCGCAAACTTGCACCTATCTACGCACAGAACAACAGCGGAACACCAAATGACAACAGTCATGCAGCCATTCCAATGCGATCTGCAACCGGAGATTCCAAAACACCTTATAACTACGCACACACAAGCACACCCAAAGCAGCTTCAAGCCACCGTTACACCGCGGCAAAAAAAACGACAAACCGACCGCAGCCGCACCCGTCGCACACACGAGGTACCTTTCATCGTCGCCTGCAGCCACTTTACACGGAAAAACACAAGGTTTCGTGCTCCGGCTTCCTCCCCAAAACATAGCCCATGCAACATCATGCAGCCATTACAATGCGGTTCGCAGCATCAACTCGCAAACTTGCACCTATCTACGCACAGAACAACACCAGAACACCAAATGACAACAGTCATGCAGCCATTCCAATGCGATCTGCAAGCACAGATTCCAAAACACCCTATAACTACACACACAAGCACACCCAAAGCAGCTTGAAGCCACCGTTACACTGCGGCAAAAAAAAACGACAAACCGACCGCAGCCGCACCCGTCGCACACACGAGGTACCTTTCATCGTCGCCTGCAGCCACTTTACACGGAAAAACGCAAGGTTTCGTGCTCCGGCTTCCTCCCCAAAACATAGCCCATGCAACATCATGCAGCCATTCCAATGCGATCTGCCACCGCAGCTTCAAGAAACGCATAAAACTACGCACGCAGGAACAACCACTAGTTGCAAAACACATAGGAGGAACAATTCGCGCACTTCCCTTCCTCGCCACTTCCCATCGTCACCACCTCCCATCATCACCACCTCCCTTCGTCACCACCCTGTGTCATACCTTCTTATTCTATGTGATGTACCACCCTTCATCAAGCTCAATCCTTTTGTGATGTATTGTTATGTAATGTAAAGTCTCACACCACCCTTCATCAAGGTCAAGGCTTTTGTGCTGTATTGTTATGTAATGTAAAGTCTCACACCACCCTTCATCAAGGTCAATCCTTTTGTGATGTATTGTGATGTAATGTAAGGTCTCACACCAACCTTCATCAAGGTCAATTCTTTTCTGATGTATTGTTATGTAATGTAAGGTCTCACACCACCCTTCATCAAGGTCAATCCTTTTGTGATGTATTGTTATGTAATGTAAGGTCTCACACCACCCTTCATCAAGGTCAATCCTTTTGTGATGTATTGTTATGTAATGTAATGTCTCACACCAACCTTCATCAAGGTCAATTCTTTTCTGATGTATTGTTATGTAATGTAAGGTCTCACACCACCCTTCATCAAGGTCAATCCTTTTGTGATGTATTGTTATGTAATGTAAGGTCTCACACCACCCTTCATCAAGGTCAATCCTTTTTGTGATGTATTGTTATGTAATGTAATGTCTCACACCACCCTTCATCAAGGTCAATTCTTTTCTGATGTATTGTTATGTAATGTAATGTCTCACACCACCCTTCATCAAGGTCAATCCTTTTGTGATGTATTGTTATGTAATGTAATGTCTCACACCACCCTTCATCAAGGTCAATCCTTTTTGTGATGTATTAATATGTAATGTAATGTCTCACACCACCCTTCATCAAGGTCAATTCTTTTCTGATGTATTGTTATGTAATGTAAAGTCTCACACCACCCTTCATCAAGGTCAATCCTTTTGTGATGTAATTATTGTAATGTAATGTAAGGTCTCACACCACCCTTCATCAAGGTCAATTCTTTTCTGATGTATTGTTCTGTAATGTAAAGTCTCACACCACCCTTCATCAAGGTCAATCCTTTTGTGATGTATTGTTATGTAATGTAAAGTCTCACACCACCCTTCATCAAGGTCAAGTCTCAGTCGCGCACCACCCTTCATCATTTCAAGTCTCAGAATTCTATTTGTCCGTAACACGGAAGTATTGCTTCCCAACTTCCTTTGATCATGGTTTACCATATTTTTCCCCAATATAAATTGCGTATTTTGGGGTGTCCCATGGTGTCCCCCAGGCCCACATAAGTCCCCATGTCTTGCCACTCAGTCGCACTCGGGCGTTCCATTGCTGCACTGTGGCGTTGCGTTGCACGCGTTGCACACGGCGTCGTGCAGCGCAAGCGATCCCCATGCCCAGTGCCAGCGCAGTGTTGCGCCATTGTGCACTACTTGTGGTGCCCACAACGTTGCGTACGGGGCCTTGGGTCACTGGGTTGATTTTGTGGCAAATCGCAGCCGGACAGCATGGTCTTAGCATTTAAGGTTTCCCTTCAACCATTACTGGGATTGGGAAAATGCCGCAAAACATCTTCCAAATGTACTCGGGAGAAAAAAAAATCTTGGGCAAGGCCTTCTTTCTGACAGGCATTTGTAGCATTTGCATGTTCCGTTGGCATGGAGGATCGTCCCACTTAGTAGCTTTCTTGTAACCCTGATGTTTATAAGTCCCTTTGTCAGGAGTATGGGAAGTACAATAGGTTTCCCATTTGCAACTGGGGAAGGACCCTAGCTGAACTGAACCAAATCTTGAGGGCTCCAACCAGTTACTTGTTGGAATCCAAGTATTGAGGCCCCTGCTGCACTGCGCCTTGCTACAGGATGCCTTGTCGCTCTTGCTTGTCACTAAAGGGTTGACAAAGGATGTAGGCGTCCCGTGAATGGCCAGGGTGACCAACAACACCTGGGCGGAGTCTCTAAGGTGTTGGGATGGGGGCTATGTCACCACCCCTCAACGGTGAGATCCCACTTGTTCCATGTCACCAGGAAGCAGGGACCTGCTTCGATCTTCTTCGAAGGGAATACACTTTGCCACTGTAGACATTGCAAAAGAGGGACAAGAGCACCCAGTCTCAAGTGTGAAGAGCGCTTGGCATCATCACTCGCCATATTATACCCCATGTAGAAATCATATGAAATTATGACAAGCAATGACAAATGGCCAGAGTACCCAATTACCCAATTACCCAATTATTCATCCAGATTATTATCCATCATATCCTAACTATGACACCGCCATTTTCGTGGGAAAAAACTTAATTCATGTTTGATGTAAAAATTCGTTGTGTAACCCAAACAAAAAACGCAAAAGATCTGAGCACAGCACACATGCGACACTCAGCACCGTAAAAATCGACATGGGCGCGCCGGGTTTATCTAACGCATGGCTCGAGAACTGATGCGGCCCCAAACCTTGGATCTCTCTCTTAAAAAGATCCTGAAACCAATGGGATTTTAATGGGATTTTCCATAGGAAAATGGTGGTTTAATGGAAGATTAATGGGATTTAATGGGAAATTAATGGGATTTTATTGTGATTCAATGGGATATTTTCATGGGATATAGCCTCTGGTTATGACTAACATAGCCATGGTTTTTTGATGGCCCTAATCGAAATAGATGATTTTCCCAGAAACCTCCATTTATTTTTGGGATTTTCCATGGCTATCTTAGTCATAACCAGATGGTAATTGGGTTGGTTCCCAAAGGTTTTCCATGGTTTTCCAATGATTTCCACGTCTGGAAACACGACGCGCGCTTCTCCGGTCTCCATGTGCTGGGTTCCGTGCAGCACTGCGAACGCTGGCTGGAACTAGTAAGGTGAAGCTCGGGCCTCAAGGATGATAGAGCAGATAATCTTGGATGACCAATGACCATTGGGATTTGCTTGGATTAATGTGACTTATAGTCATTTTGGATATCCTCCTTAGTTTATGCTGTATATTTTGTTCTCATTGTTATCGCGGATTTGAACCACAAAAATGCTGAAAAGTTAGAAGCCTAAAAATATGAAGTAACATATCATCTAGAACATCCTGGAAACACTTGTCTATCTATTTCTGGGTACCACATACCATCATATACCATCTGGATTGTTGATGATTTTGTGTATCCCACTTTTTGAGTTATATAATTATATATGATTGGTAACTTAGTGGGTATTTGTGGATTAGTATATATTACTATGAAGTTTTCGTTCATGATATGATTTCTGTTGGTGAACGACTCACCTTGGATATCTTGATATCAATGGGATTATTCCGGGATGGCAGTGGGCGGTACCGTCCATTGGAGGGAGAACATGGTTGGTATAGAACTTTCATTGTTGGGAAATTATGGTTGGTAAATATTGGAATAGATCTGTAGATATATAAACGACAATAACCATCAATAACCTGAATTTGGCCAACAATGTGGTAAACCGTTTGTAAACCATCCTGGATTGGGGTTTATGAAAGTTGGCCATGTTCACATTGCTGGGATGATGTAAAGGGATTCCTTCTTTGAGAGATTAAAACCTAGTTACTTTAGCAATTGCCAGAGCTTGCAACAGTTTGCCAGACAGAAAATATCCATCCCCTCACCAAGCAGGGTCCCTGGCAGAAGGTCTTCCCTTTGTCTTCCCTGACGATGAAGTGCTGGAACACTAGGACTGCGTGGTGGTTCACACATCCCCCAATAAAAGTAGGCATAGACCTTGGGGGGTTCGTTGCTTCATTTTTGCCATCCATCCATCCATCCATCCATCCATCCATCCATCCATCCATCCATCCATCCATCCATCACCACAACCATCACCATCACCATCATCATCATCATCATCAACCATATCCATCATGCATCATCATCATCATGCAACATCCATCATCGATCATCGATCATCGCTCATGGCTCATGGCTCATCGCTCATCTATCATATGTCATTTGTAATCTATCATTCATCATCCGTTTTCCATCATCCATAACCTACCATCTACCAGCAATCATGTATCATGCATCAATTATCATCCATCATCATCATCATCATCATGTCCTGGTCCGGCGTCCCCTGCTGTCGTGATTTTCACACCAAAATCCAAAGTCCGAACACCATCGTGAGATGACGGACTGCCTCCTGCGTCTGAACCTTTTTTACCAGGAATCTGGATGCGCTGCATGAAAGTCACACAATTTGAACTAAAATTGGTCATCCAGTTTCCAGCAAATAGATTAGGCAAATCATGGTGCTGGCGATGCGCCATTCGCGCTTTGACTGCCAACGCAGACATGCTTGGCACAGGGTTTTAAAAGGAAACTTTTCTTCTGATCCAAATCTCCATAGCCTTTCCTTGTTCACCCGCAGTTTCTTCTGTTTTTTTGGCAATATACTATCAACCTTAAGGTGTCTTTAATTGAAAACTTGCAGGGCTTTTAAAGAAACAGGAGTTTATGAATGAGTTTGGTTTTAAGGATGTTGACTGCTGCAAGTGAGGTTTTAGATCCAGAAAAAGAACTAGATTGTGGAACAACCTAAAAAGTTGGAAACCCAGACCCCTATGTAAGAAAGACTGTGGGCAAATGGAAGGGAATAGCCATACCTGTAAGGAAACTGCCCAGGAAGAGCCCCGAGTAACAAAAAGGAAACTGGGCCAGAAAACTATACTTTATTCAAGGAAAGAAACTTATATAGAATACCAGCAGAAGAGTTGATAAGAGAAATGATGGACATATGGAGGATGATATGGTGGATGACATGGGAAAATTCTTGCTGAATGGAGTTTTGATGGTGAAGATGGTGAATGATTTGGTGGTATGCAATGATGAAATATGGATGAAAATGAAGCATCGAACCTAGCATCAAGGCTTTTTTGCACTACTATAAAAAGGGGTGGTTCCGTGGTTCCTAAAATTATCACAAAGTAATATCAACAATGGGTTAATATCCCATTATATATAATTTGTGTTCCCCCATAATCACTGTGAAAGTAAAAACCAATAGTCATGGCTCTAGGGTGGAACGATGTGGAACCAATGCTTTTGAGCTCATCCAACACCATTCGTATACCGATTTTGGGAGGACCAAAAAACACACACATATATATATATATATATATATATCGTATATATATATATATCATATATATATATCATATATATATATAGTTTTAAAAAACGTATATAAAAAAATGTGAAACCACCGAAAAACATGCCCCACTCCGAAACAACGCCGTCACAGGAGCCTGACCCTTTTCCTTGACGTCCTTGGCTTCCATAGTTGCTCGGGGCACCAGCCTTGGCTATGGGTCAAATATTCAGTTTGCCCAAACCTTCGAATCTCATTTGGGCTTGCCACTTTTTATCACCAAAATCTTCCATTTTAATGGGATTTCCCATTATAAACCATTCATTTTCGGGCACCCCCACGACAGGAAACCTCCATTTCCTGATGGCTGAATCCCAATTTTTTTTCGTGTGAAATTGCCAACATCTGCCAGTTCTTCGGCCATTTCATCACTGATGTCCACCCACTGGGCCAGGCACTTCTGGGCACACATCTTCCGCCCGCAGTCGTCCAGTCTTCCCTCCAGCCGATTAGCCGGTGGCCATGGGGACGTAGGCGGTCAACAAGACATTGAAATTTCCAAGGGCAAAGCATGACAAGGGCAAATATTTTTGTTTTGTATATAACCTGACCTGCAAACAAAATCAAAGAAATGGTATGAATGAGCCAAATGATGTCACAAGAGTAGACATTTCATCCAGCTATGGAGATATGAGATATGGAGACCTCAGCACCAAGAAGAGCGACAAAATTCACGTATACTTCGCCATGAAAAAAATCGACCTCCAAACTGCGGGCGTGTCAAGCTATAAACTGGAGATTGAACCATAACAAATGAGATTAACAACCATTATTAACCATTAATAATGGTTAATGATATTCATTTAATAATGGTTCATGTACAATCATCACCACTATTGACAATTATAAACGATTATTAAATGAATATCATTGACCATTTAGCCATTATATAATCACCACATGATTGGGCCACATGGAGTATAGAATTTCAAGTTGCCTCGTTTTAAGGTTTAAAAAAAAAATAGCGCACCAAGAAGTAGTATTGCCCTGTTGGAATGCTTTTTGTCAACTGACGGCAGGGGGGTGTTGGGCACAACCACTTGTGAAGCCTTTATTTCCATACGAGGGTTGTTTTGGTACATTTTGAGCACCTTCCACCTGCAGTTCATCCTTTCGTTGCCAATTTCTGGTTCATTTCCTTTTCTGTTTGTAATCAGAACATGCATGCACTTAGCTAAACATAGTTAAACCATGTGAAATCAGTTTGGGGACACAGGCGTCCCAATGACTTGGTCAAGTTGGTCAAACATTGACCAACCAAGTTGGTCAAAACTTGGTCAAGTTGGTGACAAATTGAGCAACTTAGTCATTTTTGACCAACCCAACCAACCTTTGACCAATTTGACCAAGTTGGTCAATTCTTTGACCAACTTGACCAACTTTTGACCAACTTGACCAACCTTTGACCAACTTGACCAAGTTGGTCAATTTTTCACCAACTTGACAAACTTTTGACCAAATTTGCAATTTTTGACCAACTTGACCAACTTTGGACCAAGTTTGACATGTTTGACCAACTTGACCAACTTTTGACCAAATTTGCCATTTTTGACCAACTTGACCAACTTTGTCATTTTTGACAAACTTTTGACCAACTTTGTCATTTTTGACAAACTTTTGACCAAGTTTGTCATTTTTGACCAACTTGACAAACTTTTGACCAAGCTGGTCATTTTTGACCAACTTGACCAACTTTTGACAAACTTTTGACCAAGTTGGTCATTTTTGGCCAACTTGGCAAACTTTTGACCGAGCTGGTCATTTTTGACCAACTTGACCAACTATTGACAAACTTTTGACCAAGTTGGTCATTTTTGACCAACTTGACCAACTTTTGACCAACTTGATCAAGTTGGTCATTTTTTTAACAACTTTTGACCAAGTTGGTGATTTTTTGACAAATTTGAACAACTTTTGGCTAAGGTTGCCATTTTTGACCAACTTGACCGACTTGACCAATTTTTGACCAAGTTGGTGATTTTTGACAAAATTGGTCAATTTTTGGCCAAGTTGGTGATTTTTGAACAACTTGGTCAACTTTTGACCAAGTTGGTGATTTTTGACCAACTTGGGCAAGTTTTTTTGACGAATTTTTGTTGGAGATTTTTGACCAACTTTGTCAATTTTTGGCCAAGTTGGTGATTTTTGACCAACTTGGTCAATTTTTGACAAAGTTGGTCATTTTTGACCAATTTGACCAGCTTGACCAACTTTTGACCAAGTTGGTGATTTTTGACCAACTTGACCAATTTTTGACCAACTTTTGACAACTTTTGACCAACTTGACCAACTTTTGACCAACTTGACCAACTTTTGAACTTTTTTGACCAGCCCTTGACCAACTTTATCAACTTCTGACCAACTTTTGACCAACCTGACCAACTTGACCAACTTAAGGGCACAAGAAGTGTTTGCAGCCAAATTTAGACCATTCAGAAGTAGTTTTGCTGGTAAAATTTTCAGAAGTAGTTTTGCTGGTCAGGTTGGTCAAAAGTTGGTCAAAAGTTGGTAAAGTTGGTCAAAAGTTGGTAAAGTTGGTAAAGTTGGCCAAAAGTTGGTCAAGTTGGTCAAAAGTTGGTCAAGTTGGTCAAAAGTTGGTAAAGTTGGTAAAGTTGGTCAAAAATTGGTCAAGTTGGTCAAAAATGACCAACTTGGTCAAAAGTTGGTCAAATTGGTCAAAAATGACCAACTTTGTCAAAAATTGACCAAGTTGGTCAAAAATCACCAACTTAGCCAAAAATTGACCAAGTTGGTCAAAAATCACCAACTTGGTCAAAAATTGGCAAAGTTGGTCAAAAATCAACAACTTTGTCAAAAATTGTCCAAGTTGGTCACAAATTACCAACTTGGTCAAAAATTGACCAAGTTGGTCAAAAATCACTAACTTGGCCAAAAATTGACCAAGTTGGTCAAAAATCACCAACTTAAAGTTGACCAAGTTGGTCAAAAATCACAAATTTTGCCAAAAATTGACGAAGTTGGTCAAAAAACACCAACTTGGTCAATTTTTGGCCAAGTTGGTCAAAAATGACCAACTTGGTCAAAAGTTGGTCAAGTTGGTCAAAAATGACCAACTTGGCCAAAAGTTGGTCAAGTTGGTCAAAAAATCACCAACTTGGCCAACCGTTGGTCAAGTTGGTCAAGTTGGTCAAAAATCACCAACTTGGCCAGAAATTGACAAAGTTTGTAAAAAATGACGAACTTTGCCAAAAATTGGTCAAGTTGGTCAAAAATGACCAACTTGGTCAAAAGTTGGTCAAGTTCGTGAAAAATCACCAACTTGGTCAAAAGTTTGCCAAGTTGGTCAAAAGTTGGTCAAATTGGTCAAAAGTTGGTCAAGTTGGTCAAAATTTGGTCAAGTTGGTAAAAAATGACCAACTTGGTCAAGTTGGTGAAAAATGACCAATTTGATCAAGTTGGTCAAAAGTTGGTCAAGTTGTTCAAAAGTTGGTCAAGTTGGTCAAAAATTGACCATCTTGGTCAAGTTGGTCAGAAATTGACCAACTTGGTCAAGTTGGTCAAAAGTTGTTCAAGTTGGTCAAAAATGACCAACTTGGTGAAGTAGGTCAAGAGTTGGTCAAGTTGGTCAGAAATTGACCAACTTGGTCATGCTGGTGAAAAATTGGTCAAGTTGCTCAAAAGTTGGTCAGGTTGGTCAAAAATTGGTTAAGTTCGGCAAAAATGTGAACCTTAACTGATCTTCACATGTGTGAAATCAAGCTGGACAATGTGACCAATCAAATCGTGGTTGAGATGAAAGCGGACCGCGGGTGACCCCTGGGGGTAAACACCCCCATTTTTGCAGTGCTCCTCTTGACAAGAAATATGTAAATGTTCATAGTCCCCAAGTTATGATGCCTAAAAATAGTGCAATCCAAAGTTTTTTACGTTTCAGGAATTAGCACCACAAGAAGTAGTTGAGACACTTTTCAAAGCGTTTTTTCATGTACCACCCAGCCGATTTTCAAAAGGTAGGCCCAAACACTTGTGGCCTCCTTAAAACATAGCCACTCGAAAGTCTACAACATGGAGGTTGCAATTTCAGCCGTGCTGAGCTTCCCGGCTGTCTGGCACTACACGGAAGGTCACCCGAGTTCCTTCCGGTGGAATCACCTGAGGAATCCCATAGTGGCCATCCGAAATGATCCCAAATCAACTTGTGCTTACGTGGTGGTTTGGGTTGGTGGTTTGGAAGTCTGGGAATTGATGGTTTTGTAAACGTAGAAAAAACAAAAAATATCAAACCCTGCAAACAATGAAATCGTTGAAAATAAAGAAAACAAATTTAAAACAACAATGATTGCTACCAGATTAGGTTTGTTTTTGAATTGATATTCATCTTGTATCTCGGAAAATGTACACTTATTTAATGTCCAATAATTTCACGTGATTGTTTAATTGATTATTGAATTCTAGTGCATTTTTCTGTACTTGTCTATTTATTTTTGAAATGGGGGAAAGACAGTTTCTTGAAGCCGTGTGGTCCTATCCTGTACTCTGACTGATGCAGGTTTCATGGATTTTCCATGGAGCTTCCATGCAGGTTTCATGTTGGTTACATGCTGGGTTTGCAAATTTAGCTTACTGGTGGGTAACCTCCGTGACAACTCCCTGGAACCTGCATGGAATCTGCATGGAACCTCCATGGAACCTGCATCAGTCAGAGTGCATGATAAAACCAACAAGTGTAGATAGAGGCACCACCTCCATAACGCACATGGAAACTGCATGAAATTCTACACCAATTCTCCATGGAACCTGCATGGAACCTCCATGAAAATTGCATCAGTTAGAAGGCGCCATGCAACTATCACGTTTAGACACAAGAAACAACGGTTACCTACATGAAACCTACATGAAACCTCCATGAAACCTACATCAATTCTCCATGGAACCTGCGTGGATACTCCATCAAGGAAGACGCCATACAATCATCAGGTGTAGATACAGGGAACATGGTCGAGTTTTTTTAATGGAAACTACATGGAAACCATCAGACGCTTTGATGCAAATTGATCGCAAATCGATCGTAGCTAAATTGATCGCACAAAAACTGTTATAGCATCTGTGCGTTTTGATGTCGTTTTCACTAGGCCATCTGTCTTTGCTGATGTTTCTTTTGGTTTCTGTACTGGAAAAGTCAAATTCTTCCAGAATTTCTATTTATCCTGAGTGTTCGTTGCTTGGCGGTTTTGATGTTGGCAAGGCCAGGGTTTCAAGTGTGGACTTTGTAATGTGTCATTTTGATGTAGGATTTCGACGTTGTTTTGCGATCATTTTGCGATCCTTTGTCGATCGATTTGACATCGGCCTAAAAACGAATAAGAAGGCCATAAAACAACATCAATATGACATCGACAAGAACCTAAGGCCTGTAGAAAACGGCACTTGCCAATTCATATATTCATATGGTTTGGTGATCATAGAATCCAAGATGACATAAGTGAGTTCATTTCTCTTGGTGGTTTCGTCTGTTAATTAACTTAGTTTGCAATATTATATGTTAGGAACCTCCATCAAGTTGACACCGAGACAGACATAAAACTCCATCAAAATGACATCAAACAAAAATTCACATTTGAACCTTGCCAAAATCGAAACCACCAAGCAGTGAACACTCAGGATAAATAGAAACTCTGGAAGAAATTGACTTTTCCAGTGCAGAAACAAAAAGGGACATCAACAAAGACAGATGACCTAGTGAAAACGACATCAAAATGCACAGATGCTATGACAGTTTTTGTGTGTTTTTTTACGATCAGTTTACGATCGATTTACGATCGATTTGCGATCAATTTGCGTCAAAGCGTCTGATGGTTTCCACGTAGTGTCCACTAAAAAAAAAGTCTCTGTTCCCTGTATCTACACCTGGTGCTTGTATGGCGCTTCTTTGATGGAGTATCCATGCAGGTTCCATGGAGAATTGATGTAGGTTTCATGGAGGTTTCATGTAGGTTCCGTTGTTTCTTGTGTCTAAACGTGATGGCTGCATGGCGCCTTCTAACTGATGCAGTTTTCATGGAGGTTCCATGCAGGTTCCATGGAGAATTGATGTAGATTTCATGCAGTTTCCATGTGCGTTATGGAGGTGATGCCTCTATCTACACTTGTTGGTTTTATCATGCACTCTGACTGATGCAGGTTCCATGGAGGTTCCATGCAGATTCCATGCAGGTTCGAGGGAGTTGTCATGGAGGTTACCCACCAGTAAGCTAAATTTGCAAACCCAGCATGTAACCAACATGAAACCTGCATGGAAGCTCCATGGAAACTCCATGGAAACTCCATGAAACCTGCATCAGTCAGAGTACTGTAGAGGATAGGACCGCAATGGAATTTGTTTCAAGAGAAACTGTTTTCTTTCTCTGCTTTGCTTTCATGTAGATTATTTAGATAGAATAGATAGGTAAGGTCACTTGGATAGAGTAGGCATATTAGATAGATCAGATAGAAAAGGTAGACTAGGTGGATTAAATAGATTAGATAGATTAATAGACAGACTTGAAAGATTAGAGAGGTTGGATTAGATTGGCTTAGATTAGATTAGATTAGATCAGAGAAGATTAGACTAGTTTGATAGATAAATAGACAAACAAATAAATAGATAGATTATGTAGATATATGAGATTGGTTGATAGATTGATAGATTGATAGATTGATAGATTGATAGATAGATAGATTGATGGATAGATAGATAGATAGATAGATATATAGACAGACAAACAAATAGATATATTGGATATGATATATTAGATAAGTAAATAGATAGACAGACAGACAAACAAACAGATAGACAGATACTTAGAAAGATAGATTAGATTAGATTAGATTAGATTTAGATTAGATTTAGGATTTAGA